GGGGGCCTGTGAATGGGGCGGGGCCTAAGGCAGGGATCTGGCAGACAGGAGGCAGGCCCCAAGGGATGGGGAGGGGTCTGGTAGACGGGGTGGAGCCTAAGGGAGGGGCCTGCTGGCCAGGGGGCGGGGCTTGAGGGCAGAGGAGTGGTCACGCGATGAGGGGTGGGGCCTGCTGCGGGAGGGGGCAGGGTGTAGAAGCAAGGGGAAGGGCCTGGCACTAACTCCGCCCTCTTTTTGTCTCTGCAGGTGGTGAGGCCCCGCCGCCTGGGCCAGGTGTGTGGCTGGCGGTGGGCGGTGCCATAGGGGGAGTAGCCTTGCTGGCCCTAGTGGGGGGCGTGGTGTTGTGGGCACGGTGCCGCCCCCGCCAGAAGTTCACCAGTGAGGATGAAGCCCTGCCCCCTTTCCCTAAGCCCCACCCCTTCTCCCCTGGAAGCCCCTCCTAGAACCCAAACCCCACCCCTTTCAGCCAGGTCCGGGCAGGGTAGACCCCTGCCCCTCCCATCTCAGCCCCGCCCCTCCACCCTCAATAACCAGCCCCTCCCCTCTCTTCTCTTCCAGCCCCCATCGAGGAGACAGGAGGCCACTCGGAGGCTCTGATTCGCTGAGGTGAGGCTCCCCCCCCGCTTGGCTCTGCCCCCTCCAGCGGAGCCCCTTGGGCCTGACCCGCACTCTTTTTCTTTCAGGCCTGCCCTGGGACAACGCCTTGCTAGGCCCCGCCCCCGAGCCACAAAGGGACGGGCCCATGGATTTTGCACATGCCACACCCCCTTCGGAGCCCTGCCCCCCGCTTGGAGGGGGGGCTTCACACACACTACTAGGGGCGCTGGCGCTTTAAGAGCAAGCCCCGCCTTCCACTGCAGGAGGCGGGGCTTCCTGCAGGTTATGCCCCATATTGGGGCCTGTTGGGGGAGGGGCTTGGGAACCCCGCCCCCTCACCCCTGTGCAACCAGTTGCGGGGGGCGGGGCTGGGTTCCCTGGGGAGCAGGGGCTGCTGGGAGCCTGGATTCTCCCCTCCCCCCTTAACTTATGTTCTTATAGGGAAGGAGCCCAGCACATTTTAATTAAAGTCTAATTTTAATGGCAGGCCGCTCCCCCAGCCTCTGATTGGGCACCAGGAGGCTCTGCCCACCTCTCTGGGGGCGGGTCCTGCCCCCAGCTGGGGTACTTGCTGTGGGGGGCAGGGAGCAGGGGGTTATGGGAGCCGGACGCCTGGGGTCCCTGCGGCGGGGCTGCGTCAGGCTCCAGGGGCGGCCCGCGCGGGGGGGCTCTGCTCCGTCCGGGCCTGGGCGAGAGAGGAGCCAGGCGTCCGCCCCCGCCCACCCCTCGCTGCCCTGCCTGCTGGCCTCTCGCCGCCTGCACCGCCCACCT